TGCATTCCAGGTAACTGGGAACTTGGAAATATCCGCCATTCAACTAGAAAAACTATCCTGGAACGCCACTTGAAGTTGGATTTCCTACTTATGAACTCAGAGAAAAAATTTATACCCCGACCACAGGAGTAGCAGCTGAATGACATCACACAACAATGGCAGCTCCCATGGAAACACACATAAAACATAAACTAAGGCAACATAAAGTATATTTGCATGTATTTAAATTAAAATAATTCATGTTTCATATAGTAAAACCTGTTCTGCATGTAAATTGATGAAGAACTGTTTTACCAGTGTTATTAGGTAGCTGATTACAGTAAAGAATCTCTGAAAGTCATCTTCTCTACCCAAGTTATTCAGTAAAATGCTATAAGTGCCAAAAGATTTGAAAACATTGGGAAGTATAATCTACAAAATATTCTGTCTTTTGAGGATGACCACTTCAGTCACTTGTTTTCATTAAAATGGCCATAATTTTAATTAACACCAAGGACAGTGCTGAGGGTGCAACTGTGTGCACACTTGACAAAGAGTTTGTCACGGCCAGCCATGTATTTCGTTTCGGCATCATGCACCACCAGGCAACGCTTTGAGGATGATATTTCAACTCGGACATTTCCCAGTTCCGAGCAGTCTGGAAAACGACATAAGTACTATGGCTGATGGAGTTACAGTGTAGAGTGTAGAGTGTAGTGTCACAAAATGGTCATGTCAATGTGTTAAGGGGTGGTGACGGTACAGTGGATAAGACACATGCCTTTGGTGTGAGAGACCCTGGTTTGAATCCACTGTGAGACACCAATGTGTCCCTGAGCAAGACACTTAATTCCCTCGCTGCTCCAGAGGCGTGCGACCTCACACATATATAGCAGTTGTAAGTCGCTTTGGATAAAAGCGTCAGCTAAATTAATAAATCTAACTGATTTAGATTGCACAGAGACAGCGCGTCATTTTATGCGTGAATGTCAAACTTACCTACGTAACTTAACTGCTGTAACTAATCAGTGTCAGTGGCCAATGGTGGTCTAAAAGCAGTCAAGAAAATAGTTTTTCAAAAATTGTGCATCGCCACAACTAGCATGCAGTCATAAATGTGAACAAAAAATATTAAGCTGATGGGTGCAGTAGTATGCGACATTAGCTGTGAACAGACACACACAAGCACGCACACGACTAAACACATGCACAAACATCCAGATTTTAACTTGCCAGAGATAATGAAGTAAATTTCATTATAGGAATAGTGTTTGTGACATAATTTAAATTGTATTATGACATTTCTATGATATTTCATGTTTTTCTGAGTCATTTACTTACAATATTGATTACCCACATAGTTCGGCAAATATTTTTTGACAAATAGCTTAATTTGTGCTCAAAGTTGCAAAAATTGCTTGGTTGCTAAAATGGGGTTGTGACGTATGACTATAGTTCCATGGGTCATACGTCATTCTCCAAGCTTGCGCAGGCGCACCGTCATGCCTCGTTAAAAAACTCACACACCGTCATGCCTCATTAAGTCAGAGCATCAAACCGATAAACATCGTTGTGAGCTAGCTAACCAATTTGTCATGTCATTTACTTAGAACTTACAGTAGGTAGGTCTCTCTGTGTCTGATGGTCGGTTTGTCTTTCTAGTTTAGTTAGCTAAGTTAACTAAGTTGTAGTTAGCCAGATGTAGTTAGCCAGCATAGTTGTTGCAGAAAGTTAGCTAAGAGAGGGTCTTCATTTTATTTTGTGCTGTTCATTTTCATTATAGCATTTGTGCGTGCGGTGTTGGAGGCCAGATGACTTTCACCTGCCACCGTCTCATGAACAGTCTGCAACATGCATTTTACTGACAGCTGTTTTACCAATGCATCAGGGAAGGCAATCGTACCAGAAGTCTTTACATACAGTTCAACAGAGTAATAGAACCCCCCCCCGTGGTAAAGTAAGCGCACCATGAAACGTAGTGGAAGTTATCGTGTGCAGTCGACTGTATGATTGATAACAGCTGATACTCGCACATTAGTTTCTATCGTGGGTAAGTAATAGCTACACTTTACAGTTTAGTGATGTTAACACAGCATATCGTTAGTGAACACTTTTGGTTGTCATGGTAATTGATTACGTCCGACTATTAACCAAACCCCCATTCTCTGTTTGAGAAAGAACGTTAACCAAAAACGGCAGTTAAAACTGGCTGGAGGGGGCTTTAAGTTAACAGTCAAGCAGTAGAACAAAAGCAGTGACACAGGGATTAGATCCTTCACAGTGGGTAGCGGGCAAACTGCATCAGTGCACAGAGTCAGACATGGAGGGAAAGAGGAACAAGAAAACAAATCCTCCTGTTCTGTTACGGATGTTTGTGTGTGTGTGTGTGTGTGTGTGTGTAATCCACAGTATAAATGAAGGATTTCATTGCTTAAGGATAATTAAAGCTAAAGACATGAGAGACTAATTCCTATTCCGATTTACAGTATCACAGTTTATTGTTCAAGTGTGTAAGTGTTCTTTGTGGGGACAAATTTGAGATTGAATTTGAGCTGAATTCTATTTAGCTGCTTCAGTTTCCGGGTCCTGGTAATGTACATGCTGTTACTATTATTAACACCTGTGCTTTTGACAAAATATCTGCTGTGTAAAAGTACAGAAAATTTAAGAAAACTTAAGAAATATGTCTTTCAAACACAGTCTGTACTCACTTACACAGCCCTTGGAAGAGATCTAATCAGGCAGAATAATTGAAAGCACCTGTGGGAGGGAGCATGAATGTGTTTGAACTTTAAAGGTAAGGTAACTTCAGCCTTCAGTTCAATAAAATCACTCCACACCTGGTCGCAAAAAAAGCATGTATTGGCACAGGTTCAGTGTCAGTGAGAACTAAATATTGAACAGAATGATCCTAAATGCTAGAAAAAATTACTACTCTCCAAATACTGTGCGTCAGAGTTTATTAGCCGACCATGCACATCAACACCTTCAACATTTTGAAAAAAGCTGAGCTCTAAAGTGTGAGTTCACTTCAACAGGAAACTATTGGTTGAGTTAAGTTCTCTTGTGTGGGTTTTAGGGCTGTCCCCGACTAAGGATTTACATAGTTGAATCAGAATCGTCAAGTCCTGCCTATAGTCAACTGAGATATATATATATATCTAAACTGAGGCTTTTTGAAGACCATTTTCGCTCTCTCTCTCTCTTGCCTGCCATTCACCGGTCTTGTGCAGAGTCGCCGTGCTGCCGACAACTGCATGCACGTCGCGGTTCCTCACGGGTCTATTTCAAGCAGTCAGCTATTTAAAAACGATAAAATATTCTTTGTGATCAACGGTGATAATTTAACCCGAAAGTCCTGTGAGGTGCGTACAACTCTGCACAACACCAGTGAAGCTGGGGCTCGGTCTTTTCGGCAAGTGTTCCTCCACTGCCACTGCACACATGCCCGCTACACATGCACACTGACGACCCAGGGTTAGAGTTACAATTTTGGATTTATTTACGCACTTTAAAAACATTTCTTGAAAGTTTTTTTTTCTTTTTACATGTTTATTTATAGCATTAAATGTTGAAATGTGTATTTTAATAGGCTGTATATTACGTTATTGGGAGAAACCTGGTGGTTCTATGTAAAATCAGACGTTGAGCACTCCCATATTGCAAAAATGGCATGATCCTTGTTTCGCTGCGAAGCTTCGACTGTGAGATTGACAGTCGAATCAGGCTCCGCCCATCGAAGCATCGAATCTTTGACTATTCGGGATCAGCCCTAGTGGGTTTTAATGAAAGTGAAAAGGGGGACAAAGCCAACATCTTAAATCTTGCTGTTATGGTTAAGACTGTAAATAAAGAGATGACTGATTGTAATCTAATACACTTTTTGTTAAATTCTGTGAATATTTCTCTTACTGCTAGCTCTCTGTTTTGTGTGTGCTCTGGTTCCAGTTTTCCTACACAGCCCTGGCTCTGTAAATGAAAAAAAAAAAAAAAAAGCGGTGTGGACCTTGCCACACAACACTGTTCCAGCAAATCAGCAACAGGTGGAGTTAGTGCTGGTGCACAGGGGGAGGGAGGTAGTGGGAAAGAGAGTTCAGGTATGAAGAATTTGAACAGAGAAGGAAGTTAAATGGCAAGGGTGAAGTCATTTCAACGCTGGAGAAACCTCAATGATTTTATATGGGGGGAGTCTAAGGGGACATTGAAGGGAGGAGTGCATTTGTTTGGCAGTTGAGTTCAAATATCAACAATCCCTCTGCAGAATCATTTAGGTTACAGTTAGCTTTAGGGTTGGGCTGAGGCATAGCGATGGTCACAGGGATCCATTATGCCAATGATGGTCCAAGTACTTACAATGAAAATAAATAAAGTACATGGACAACCTGTGTCATGGAGAGCCAACAGTCTGCAGGTTTTCATTCCACTCAGAGACTCTATGCACTAATTAGCACTTTAAGTGATAGAGAACTCACCAGTAAATGACTTGCAGAGGCGATAGAATGAAAACCCGCAGGCTGTTGGCTGGCAATGACTCATTTGCCCATCCCTGAAATGCAGAAATAAACCACTTCTTTTTCTTGATGTGAGCAAATAATTTTCGAGCTCAATAAAAAAAAAAAAACATTAAAGACAGAAAAAATAATGGCACATAGGCTAAATGAACCTTTTGAACACGAGTGTTTCAACTCTGCATGCAACCACCAATGCTGCTGCAGCAACTCTAATCTGCAGGTGACACCATACTCCGGCAGCATAAATAAATATCTAACTAGAAGAATCCCAATTATTGCCCTGGTTACTGTGCAGCTTATTTGATTGTTTAAACACCGAGAGGCTTTATAATTCAAAATTTCTAAGACCTTGCTTGAAAATCAAACCTTGTTCAGGCGTCACAATGTGTGGGACCAGGAGTCAACTGGCGGAGTCTGCAGTCTCTCTCTCTCTCTCTCTCTCTCTCTCTCCAGCTCTCTTTCTCTACCTCTCTGTCCCTCCCTCCTTTTCTCTCAGCTCCAGTCAGTAAGGAGTCATTTATCGCTGTTTCTCTCTCGTCCCCTCCGCGTTCTTGTCTCCGGTTTGAAAACTTTCCCTAAAGAACACGGATCTCAACATCCTCCTAAATAAATTAACCAGTTGTAATCAATAACCGTTTTGTTTTGCCTGGAACTTAAAGAAGGAGTTAGTGCCATTTTGTCTCCTGTGTCGGTGCATGACGAATCTCGGTGCGCAACGAACCAAACTGTACCGCAGAACGTGCCCGGTGCGTCCGCACTTGTCCTTTGTGTCCGGAACAAACTGAGAGAAAATCCTGACGGAGGTGGACTGAACCTACATCTACACTGACAGTCCGTTTTCTTTTCTCCTCTAGTTTACGACTTTGCGTGCGTCTCAGCTCAGAAGATAAAACAGAAGCCCACATCTCATTCCTCAACAAGAAGGGACATGGACATACCAGCCAGCGCTGAAAGAATGAGATGTAGAATGGGGATGTAGATGAAAAAATCCATTCACATCACAAACTCTACAAAGGGCGCAGAAGGAACAATCGAGTGAGTGAACCTGCTTCTGTCTTAGAAAAAAATGTCACATTTACTCGAAAGATGAGAATATGTGGTGCGCCCTTGCATCTCTGACACGGACGGTCAGCGGATGGAGGTCATAGCTGTTCTTGGAGTTATAAGAAATTTTGGGGTGAAAGTTGGTGACAGTATAGCGAATGCAACAAATGCAGGATGCTGAACACATTTGGTTTAGATGAAACTTTGGGGAAATCGAGTTCTCGGACAGAAAAACGAGAATAAGACCGATACTGAGAGTAATAACAAGCAGCAGCCGCGGTGAGTTTTGCAGTTGTTCAACATCGACTGGCAGGTGGATGAGTGAAGAATTGTACAGAATGTGTCCAATTGCGGAAACTTGGCTGTGTCAGTCGATTTACAGGTGGATGAAGCAGCGGAGTTGCTGTGGAGATTGCAGAACTGCGTTTTACGCATCATCTATTCACCTCAAAAACGAAATGAAGTAATTTAGTCTACTAAAGTGTTAAAATGTATTTAACGTATTTCCTATGTTTTCTGGAACACCACAAAAGATAAAATCCCATCCAAGTGGTGGAAATAATAATAATAAAGAAAAAATAATCCACTATCAGAAAAAAATGTCGTTTTTGGTTTAAGAACTAATAACACGATTTTGAGGCTTAATACGCGACCAGATGACTTGTCAAGATGCTGTAGATTTTTCAGAGGGTGTGGAATTCTTTGAATGTGTGTTGCTGGATTTCATTCAGAGAGGGTGTGGCTGTTCGCCTGTCCGTCCCTGCTCTGCTGAGGGTTTTCTGCGCCTCCCAAGATCGGGGGGGAATCAGCAGCAAATGCCTGCACCAAACTGGGAATTAAATCATGTGGCTGTGTCTGTGTGAGTGTGTGCGCGCGCGTGTTCATTCAATGAACGTCCCGCTAATCCACCTGTCTCTAGGGAGGATTAGAGCGCTTGGGACATTTTGGGACCTGTTTTTTCCTTTCTCCTCCACCTTTCAACAACATAATCTGCGAGACAAATGTTGATTCCTTCAGTTACACCCCAGAGATGGAGCCACAAGTGCAACATTTGGTGGAGGTGTTTATCCAAAGTGCATGGCTGTGCCTTGAGTGCAAATATTTTTAGCAGCCAATGCTGGTTGGCCCCACTGATGGGATGTCAAACTCTGACATATGTCAGTTTGGAGGCATTGTGGCAGAACAATTAGTGTGTTACCAGCTCATCAGGAAATACATGAAAAAAAATCAGAAGCTGTACATTAACATGACTCCGGGCAGATTTTAACTACCTTAAAATTTCAACTCCTCTGTATTGTGATTGTTATTGAGTAAACTCACCCTAAAGCCTCATTTGAATGCATGATAAAACTTAGGTTTTTCATTTATCTTAGCTGGATGTTCTCACTCCTTCTCTTTTTTAGCTCCCAGCACAATTCAGTCTGTCTCTCCCCATCTTCCTCTCTTGGTTTCAGTTCAAATGAAATTTCCAATCAACATGCTTTATTGGCATGAAAATGGAAAAGAAATATCAGAGAAGAATCAAGATGGAAATAGACACAGTTTTTGCCTCTGTCGCTCTTTTCCTCTCTGCATTGCCACCTTTCCTCATATCTTGCTTCACGTTGTTGGTTTAACATGGCTCTCACACTGCTGAGGTGTGAGGGTTTGAATTCATCATCAAAGGGTTACTCTTCCCAATTCCAGGTTCACATTTTGTTCAGGAGCATGCTCTGATGCTCAGTGATTCTCAACATGAAAGTGACTATTTCTTTTTTCTGTTTTTAGTGGGAAGGCCCTGCTTAGCACATTATTTCATTCATCACACATTTTCTATCACGATTAAGCTTACAACCATTCAGTGTTGGAATCATTGACAAGCATGGATATATGAACAGGTTTAACAACAATTTCTCTTTTCTAATCTCTGTCTTTATCTCTTTCTGTCTCTTTATTCTCACCTTTCATGCTCATGTTGCCAGAACGGTCATGTGGAAAGACAAATGCCCACCAAATGGACAGCGGTTAAAAACTGCAGGTTGATTTTATAATGGCTGGTTGTTTTTTAAGCAAAAGGAAAGGTCTATGGCCTGAGGCACAGGGGATGTTAAATGAGACTTTAAACACGCCAACCACAGACTAACAGACAGGCAGTCACGGAGACACGGATGGTCAGACGCATGCTTCTCTGTCTCACACACACGTACTCCAGTGTGCCTTAGGATGCCCCTTTCAAAATGCCACATCTCTCCATCCCACTCCTCATTTGATTTACGGAATTAATCACAGTTGATCAGCAGGTTTGACATATCGCCCCTAACTGTTTTTCTTTTTTAATGAAACAAACAACCTATTTGAAAAGACTCACTCTAAATGGCTGCAAAGGAAAGGACAGTAACTGTAGAGGATGAGATCAGCGTGCTGGAATCCAGGGGGAAAATAGCTTTCCAGGGGGAGCCCAGTAACGCAGGGAATGAAATGAAATGTGATTTCGTGGTGGGCTCGCGGGAGTCTGTGAGTGCATGTGTACATCACTACAAGCGTGCATACATTGAGCACACCAAAGTGTGCATAGTTTGTGTGTTTGCAAGCACTAATCATTTTGTGTTTTGTTGCACTTTTGTATAGTTAGTTACAGCGACTGAGACGGTGGAGAAGCTGTGTTCCTGAGTATCAGTGAAACGACAATAAATCTAAATTGAACGTTACGAAGCAAACAGCAGTGGATCTGTGCTAGTAAACAAATTGCTCCACATTTGCTTTCTTGCAGGCTGAAGTCAATACTTTGACATAATACCAGTGTTACACAGGATAGTAATGTGGGTCGCGTTAGCTGGTGAAGTCATGTGGAAAGCCATACAGCTTTGCACCAGATAACATTAGCAACTGATCAGCGTTAGCTGGCGAGCTAACGTGACTCTCTCTGTGACTCACAGTGTTTTTAACTGACACCATCTGAATCTCGTTTGATCTGACAGGCTTCAGCACATTTATTGTTGTTTTTTATCCTTACGGGGAGTTTGTCTTGGAGTCTGTGTTGTGCTGGGAGCTGGTTGTTTTGTGTTGTGTTGTTAGTGGACTGAATTTCGTTAGCTGCAGTGTTGTTGCTGTAGTCAGAGAGAGGCATGGGCTATATGCTGACCTGGTGCCTTCACATTAAAAGCAGAATAGTGGCTGTTCCAAGCAACAGGGAAAACAGGCATATGTGTCATTTCTAAGTGAGGCTACAGCCCATTGACAATAACGCAGTAAAACATTTTTTTATTAATAAGTATTTTCTTTGAAAAACTACATATAGCCCCTTTAAAGGGGTGTTGGAGGCTTAAAACTGTAATTAAGACTTCACTGTGGGTTTACTTGGTGACTGGTTGTAGGCCTAACAGCAACAGCAACAATACTAATGTTACAAGTCACAAGATTCTGGGAGCAGCAAAACAAACTATTGGAAATTTTAATAAAGAAGTTAGCAGTTATCAGCCCTTTTATATCGTTCTATGAGCAATTGTGATCTGATTATACAGCTCATGGCATGAAAGAAGTTGTTTACCTCGCTGAGAAGTTGGAGGTGTACAGCCTGTCGCCTGCAGCTCTTCCTCTAACAGCCTGCTGTGGATGCTTCTTCTTGTTCCATTACTCTCTGCAATAATTTAAAATCGTCCTCTGTCAAAAAATGCAGATAATTATTGTTAGCGGTCAGGGATAATCTCACTGACAAACACATTGTATTTCCTCACTGCTTCACAGTAAGTGTTTCGCCAGTTAAATGCTTGTAATATAAAGCTGCAGCACTAGGAAATGTTCGGTTTCTATTAGCAATAACTTGAACTTATAATATAAGAATATACGTAATGCAATTTCTATCAAGTGACCATAGGCACAGTCACCATTCTTATCTCTTTAAGCGATAGATAGTGACTTAACAGACATCTGTTTAAATGAAAATCTTCAATATTATTTCTTTACATTTTTATTAGGTTGGAGGTTACAATTAAAATATACTTTGGAGCTTGTGTCCGAGCCAAAACCTGCACACCTTTCCGACACTGGAACAGAATGGGCTTTTTGTACGTTTTGGAAATCTCTTCACACAGTGCTTGGCCAAGTGCGCAGAGGTGTCAAAGTGGAAAAGGCTTGACCTTCTCTCTCAAGCTCTCTTTATTCATTCCTTATAGAACTACATCTGTGACTTGTTGTGTGTACAACTGAGTTGCAACACCATGAATGCCTTTGATGCTTTATCCACATTTGTACAACACACCATGCCTCAGCCCTCTTTGTAATGGCAGGCTTTTGGCTACACCTTCGATTTGGTCATTTGGGACAGTTGTAAACACTTGAGACGTGTTTCGGCAACACTTTGTACCAACTACTTTGTTTTAAGCGTACTCTAGGCTTCAGACTTGTTGATCAACACTCTCTTTAAAGCTATTTCATTGGTATCAGTTATTTACTTTACAATATTGGGAATAGAGGTATTCGTAGGGGCACTCGGTTCTGAGAAATCTAAACCTGACCCAGGACCAGGTTCAAATTATATTCTAATCAGATGGGTATAGTCTCATTTTACTGCCATGGGTTTGAGCCTGTGTGTCAATACCTGAGTGGCTCTGAATGCATCCAAGCTTACTATCAGTTATTTCAGGAAGTCAGTATCTTATGTAAAACATGATTGCTATTAAATGACAATTATACTTCAGGATTTGATTGACTGGTTATAAGATGATTATCTTCTATCCCAGCCTAGTTGGCTTTACAATGTTTCACTGTTAGTGCGGGAGGTTCAATCATTTCTATAAATTACTTTTGAAGCATATAAACATTTTCTAGTACTTTATGATATCGCTGCTTGTTTTTCAATTTGACCACATTAGTGCATCATTCTGCTGCAAGTGCTGGTGTTCCCTCTCTCTTAGGGTCTTTTTGGGTCGACAACACGTGGGACTGGACCTTGGGTCCCCTTCGGATCGGCTCTGACTGTGCTCTTAAATTATTTATCCATGTTGGTTTCGGGT